CGGGGGGGGTGCGGGGGTAGGTTGGGGGGTGATGGCTGGGGTCCCCTCTGCGGGATCGGGTGTGCAAGGCACCGAGGGGGGACGTGTGTGTGGGTGCGCACCGCAGCATCGGTGTGCAACGCCTGTGCATTGCACGAGTGAGTGCAAAGCACAGATGTAGGCAGAGTTGGCCCCCGTCCCGTCCCAGCGCATCTGTACCCCAGGTGCGACTTCTCACAGCCCTGGGCCTCTCCGTGGCCCGCATAATTTGTTTTTGTTGTCTTGTCTTCGTTGTACTTCGTTTGCAGAGACAGGCAGCACTCTCCTCCCTTCCTTTTTTTGCCTTCCCATCTGCGATGGAAGAAGTTTCCTTGAAAGAAGAGGAGCGTTGTGTTCTGTATCTCTGTTTCCAAAGGGGTGAACTTAAAGGAGGGAGGTTACAGTCGGTTAATTCATGCTGCTGGTAGAAAGCAGACTTGCAAAAAAATCCTCCTGAAAACTTGTCCATTGAACACCGAAAAACCTGTTCCCGTATTTTCCCCTTTTGACCCTGTGAAGGAAGGAAAAAAAGAACAATCCCGCATTTTCCTGCTCTTAAAAATACAGGTGTTAGAAGGCAGACTGAATTTAAAAGAGCTTTTCAGCATCAGGCTTTGTGTGCTCCCAAAACATTCTTTCCAACAGCCTTACAGCCATCAGCCTGTACACAGCACAGCTCCTTTTAAAGACAGAAGGCTGAGCTTTTTTTAATAACTCAATATTTAAATTGGGCAAAATGCATGTGGTTTTGAAGCTCCTCTTTCTGGAGCATCTCTCATCTTTTTCCTCCAGGGGTGGCAGATGTGGCTGTTGACCCCCGTCCCCTGGGGCTACTCTCCAACTAGGGCTGGCTACTGCCCTTCTGCCCTGATTTAAAGCTGGGGGATGCGTATGTGTGTGTGTGTGCAGAGCCCAGGTATTGCAAGGTGAGGCTGGGTAGGAGTTCATCTCTCAAAAAGCAAATCGCAGGATCTTTTCCTTGTCTTGAGGGTTTGATTTTGGATCCCTGCAAATGATTCAGTTTTGCTTTTAAAGTAGTTTGGCTGGCTCATAAAGCCGGGGGACGGCTCGCTCTCATCTGTGCCTGCACAGACCTTGGCGTGGGATGTGGGAAGCTGATCTTTTGGCTTCTCCCCAGCAGGAATTGAACTTTCACATGGTATATATATACTTCTCGTTATCCTTCGTCCCTATTTAGAGCTTGTGTATAGTTTGATATAGCAGAACTGATCTTAGACACTCCTTTTACTGTATCCGTTTTGTATTCTCACCAAGTTCTGTGCTTTGTTTGCTCCAGGTCCTTATTTAAAAATACTTTGAGATTGCTTCTGTCATTGTATGATAAGAGCCTTGCTCTAACAGGACCCTCTCCACAGAAGGTTCTGCTCAGTGGAAGCCTACTGGGGCTGGGATTTCTCACCATTTCACATTTGGGGTGTGACAGGGGCCGCAGCCAGCATTGATGAGAGCCGGCAGCGAGCAGAGCAGCACTCCTGCGGGGTGTTTCTGCTCTGGTCTTGCTGTCAGCAGCCGTTCCTGGGTGCATTTGAGGGCATTGACATGCCTTAGTGCAGCCTGAGATTTGCTGGGTGCGGGTTACCCAGGGAGAGCAGCCTCAGCCCCCGCCACAGGGCAAAGGGACCCCATTGTCAGCCCCGCCACACACCCTGGCCTTTGCCCGTTGTCCCCTCCTGGGGCTATCGAGGAGTGCAGTCTGGGGCCAGCTGTGGCTCGTTCAGGCTTCCTGTGCAGCCTTCCCTTCTGGGCTCTTCTGCGTAACCAGGTGGTAAAGGGGGTCTTGGGTTGGTTCAGGTATAGTTTTAGGGAAACAGTATAGCTCAATGGTCCATATCCCTATGTCCTAGAGGCCTTGGGAACACTTTATCTGAGGAAATGGACAAGTCAGGTGTCTGGAAATAAATGTTTTCCAGGGCAATGCAATATTTAGAGCTATCTGTCTGCCGTCTTATATTAACGCTTCAATGCAATCAACATTTACTTTCTAAAATGTGGGGGTTTTCCCTATTTTTAGATTATTTGTTACAGCAATCTTTACAGACATTTTTGAATTTAAATAAACTTCAGTCAAAACGCAAGGCTGCTCAATGCCAGTACCTTTGCTTGTGTTATTGCCGTAGGATAAACTTTTCAAGTCAGTAGGTAGACCCAAGCATCTAGCTTTTTTACAGCTTTGAGCATCTCCCCTGTAATTACAGTCTCTTACATTTTCCCTTCTCAACTTTTCCGTGCTCAGCTCCTTCTTAGCGTACCTCGCGCAGGCAACAGAAATGAGAACACGAGCAGCATTCATGTAGTGGAGCGTGCCTTCCCCCAGGGCCTGTGTGAAAGATGCTTTCCTTTGCACACCTGCAGCAATGCGCTGCTTAAAGCAGTAATTAATCTTGACCTCACACTGAACTGGCTTTTTGGGAGCACCTATATTCACGGGTTTAATCTTTGTGTTTTTACATGGAATTTCTTAGGAAATAAGACTTTGTGCAGTTGTCATGCTCATGTAAATTATCCATCTAAACAGAATGGATAGATCCATAATCTGTAGTTTATGTCACACTGCTCCATAGCCTGCCAGATACAGATTTTAAAAATGCTCAGTAGGACCAGTGGCTTCAGGGAAACTAGACATTGTATTTTGACCACCAAATTATAACCCTTAGAATTCCATTGCCCAAGCAGGGAACAAAATGTGAGTAAAGGAGAAGACATCTCCAGATTGAGCAAAACATGGTTGTGGGATCTGAGGATGTAAACGGATGCAAGACGTAAAAATGGGTGTCTAGAGCTTACCTGCCCAGGAACAAATTGTGGCCGTTTTGCCTTGCTCACTTGATGTTGTGAGGCTAGAGAACATTCAAACCCAGGTACTTGTCACCAGGACACTCCAGTGAAGAAGCAGGAAATCCAAACTGGCCATTGAGGAAGTGGATTTCAATGGGGATTATATTCTCTTCTCAGTGAACCAGAGAGTAGTTTCTTTGAGAATTCAGCACAATAATACCTATTTTCAAATGTCAAAAAAAGCAAGGTAAAGTAATTCAGATGGAAGGAAAATATCAGATGTCTCTCATCTCAGTATGAAGCAGATGTGGTCTGAAATGTTCTCTTCCTGCGTGTTTGCTAACTGCAAATATTATCAACACTGATTTATTAACCATAATGGGTATTTGCACTTGCTGTGCAGGAGACTCATCTAAAAGCTCGCTCATGAGTAACATGTTACTGCAGATACTCCATTTTGCTCATCAGCCCAGACATCAAACATTTTCTTTACCAGAATGATGGGAGGTGCTGGATGAACCCATTTGCCAGAGGCTTTTGCGCCTTTTTGGTGGTATTTTGCTGTATACAGCAAGATCCTGTTTCTTGGCTGGGGTAGCTCTTGACTACAGTGGTCTGTTAAACAAGAACTTGGCTCCCAAAACCATCAACCTTTACCTTCCTAACAATTTTGACTGTAAATCTTGGGGCTTAACTGCTGCCATGCAGCCAGAAAGCATGCTTCCTTTAAGGATGCAACTGCTGTAATAACGTGACCATCAAATGCATCTTAGTTTCCATTTATGAGGGCACTGCAAATGTGTCTGCACTTGCATTGACAGAAGCAAACGGGGACTTTGCACAATACGCCTGGTGGAAGCAGCAGCAGAACTCTGACTGCCATTGCATAGTGCCTCAAACATACTGTTTTCTTTTTATCAGTACTCCCACCTCCCTAAGTTCCCTTCCCTGGGTTTATTTTATTTTAGGCTGAGGGCTGTTTTTTTTTTTTTTTTTACGTTATCCAAAACTGGGGATATCAAGGCTATTAGATTCATATTGGTTGGGAAGGAGAGATGAGTACATAGGGAAGAGCCAGGGCTGTGCCTGTGCCATCCTATTTTTGCAGACAATTGGAATTAGGTCCTTTTCTGTATTGTCTCAACAAGAGGCTAATTAGTCAGCAAGCTCGAGCTCCTGGAGGATAATTAAGCTTTATAACTGTGGGTTCTCTTTGGTTGATGAGAAAGAGGAGACAGTACCCTCAGAGGCTAAGAATGCTGCTCTGCAGCTACTGTGCTGTACCTCATAATTGATCTATTGTTTCAACAGCAGATAATTCCTCATTTCCTCATAATTACCTCTTTTTAGTGCCTCACACTGTATCCTGATATTAGCTGTAATCACTGATAATTTACCCTGAAGCCAATCAGAATCTGCAAAGCAAAATATTGGCCTTGGTGAGCATTTATGCTTTCAGATGAAATTTTCTTTTGTTGTTGTCAAGAGGAATCAAGCCATTGTAGTTACACATTTTTTGGATGTGG